TTTCCCGACTCAGGGAACCAACCCAGTGTCTCCTGTATTACAGGCAGATTCTTTACCTTCTGAGTCACCAAAGTATCCCTCAATTCTTTTCTCTCAAGGTATATGGTGTCAGTGGCTCAGTTGTGTCCGACTCTTTGCAACCCGAGAGACTGCAGCATACCAGGCTTCCCTGTCCTTCACCATCTCCTTGAGCTTGCTCAATCTCATGTCCATTGAGTTGGTGATGCCATCCAACCATCTCGTCGTCCTCTTCTTCTGCCTTCAATCTTTCCCAGCATCCTGTATCTATCATCTAATTATCTATGTATCATCTATTATTTTTCCATCTATCATCTATATAATCTATTTATGTATCTATCCATTTGATTCTCCTTTATCTCATTTGCTGTTTTCTGCCCTGAACTGTGAGAGTAAGGTCTCTTCCTCTTGCAATCTTTCTCTAGTGACCTCTACTAACAAAGCTTAATATGATGCCTAGGGCTGAATAGGAGAAGGCAATGGCACCCCACTCCAGTACTCTTGCCTGGAAAATCCCATGGATGGAGGAGCCTGGTGGGCTGCAGTCCATGGGGTCACTAAGAGTCGGACATGACTGAGCGACTTCACTTTCACTTCACTTTCATGCATTGGAGAAGGAAATGGCAACCCACTCCAGTGTTCTTGCCTGGAGAATCCCAGGGACGGCGGAGCCTGGTGGGCTGCTGTCTACGGGGTCGCACAGAGTCAGATATGACTGAAGCGACTTAGCAGCAACAGCAGCAGGTCTGAATAAAAGGTCCCAACGCTGATCTAAAAGGTCCAGATCAGTTTTTGCAGAGCAGCAATGAAGGGAGAATTTGGAGTTGAAAAGCAGTAAATCGATAACTCTTTTTGTTTTAAACAGTTAGTTATCCTTTAAATGTTTTTAAAAATATTTTTCTTTGTCCACATGGTTACTCTTTCCAGTGCTCTTCATTCTTTTGTGTCCATCCTAGTTTCCATCGAGAAGCATCTTATTTCTCTGCAAAGAACTACTTAAAATTTTCTTTAGTGAAGGTGATAAGTTTCCTCAACTCTTATTTCTCTGAAAAATCCCTTTATTTTGTCTTAAATTTTGAAGGATTTTTGTTTGTTTATTTGTTTGCTTTTTGAGAGATATGACATCCGCCCACCCCAGCACTTTAAATACATCTTTCTGTTGTGTTTTGACTTGGAAGATTCCTTCTTTTTAAAGTTTTTACTTAGAAAAAATTTCAAACTGACAAAAGTTTACAAAAATAATGATGTTTCCATAGACCTTTCATGGTGCTTCCACATATCACATAACCCCAGGACAAGGATCGCAACCAGAAAATTACATCGGCACAGTATTATATTGATATTACTCAATGTATCAGTCGGCCCCCTCTTCCCCTTCAACCACACTTGTCACCAGTAGCAATGACAGTGATTTATTACAAGAGGGGAACCCCCCTTTCTGTGGGGTCTGGGTGCCTGAGTCAGACGCAGCTGTGGCTCCTGGGAGTGCACCCTTAGGTCGGATTCACAACCTTGCCCAGGAAGAGGCTGCTCCACGTGAAGTCGTCGAAGATCATGATGATGAAGGGCCGGTTGAAGCGGAGGGCGAGCGGCTCCGGCGCTGCGCTCAGGCTGACCCGGGTCAGGGCGGCCGCCTCTAAGCCCTTCTCGTCGACCTGCAGCGCGGCCTTATGGAGCACCTGGAGGGAACAGACCCGCGTGGAGGGTGAGCCCCTGCTGCCTGGGCGGAGCTTTCCGAGCTCGATCGCTTCAGCTCCTCCCATCCTCGGTTTTCTGGACTGCGAAACTGAGGCTCAGAGAAGGGCACTTACTGATTCCTCATCTATGTGGCAGTCCCCGGACTAGCGCTGGGATCTGTCCACCTCCCGGACCCAGGTCACACCTAGACTGCCTCCCTAGAAAACCGGCAGGTGGAGCCCACCAACGGAGATAAAAGGACTTGGGGCTGAAACTGGACTTCAGCATCCATAGTCGGGCGTCCCTTACTGGGTCCTGGGCTGGTGGACGGAGACCTGATTCCCTCTTCACTCTGCCGGTAAATAGAAGGGTTTGACTTATGCAAAAGGCTAGTACCCACTCTGTAGGAGAAAGGGTCATCTGTGACTTCTCAAACATCCCTAGTTTGAGAAGATATTCTCAAGCCAGTAAAACCCTTGAGTGGCTTGTATCAAAACCCTTGGACAGATCAGAACTGGCTGATTAAATAACACCACCTATGAGATAGGATGGCTTCCCTGGTGGCTTAGTGGTAAATAATCTGCCTGCCAATGCAGGAGATGCAGGTTTGATCCCTGGGTGGGGAAGAGCCCCTGGAGAAGAAAATGGCAACCCACTCCAGTATTCTTGCCGGGGAAATCCCATGGACAGAGGAGCCTAGAGGGCTCCCCATGGGGTTGCAAGGAGTCAGACGTAATTTAGCAACTAAACAACCACCACAAAGGGACAGGACTCTCATGGATGGAGCAGCTGGGAATCCGAGGCTCAGAGAACTCTGTAATTAGGCCTGCGTGGCTAGGGAGAACCTGAGCTGGGCTAGGAACCTGCAGGGTTCCTAGAAATATGTCCTGGAAATATGCGGTTTTGAGTCATATGTTAGCCTATTTATTGCCTCTGTGACCTTGATGAGTTATTCACTCTCCCAGACCCAGTGAGTCCTCCTCTGAGAAACTGGGGTAGCAGCCACCTTGTAAGGAGGCAGCAGTTTGACCCAGACCTTCACACACAGCCACTGTTGAGCGCATACTGTGTGCCAGGCATCACAATGGTCAGAGTCTGTGTGCCTGAGGGCAGGGGCTGCTGTCACTCTCCTGTTCCCTCCCCCCTCTCTTTTCTTGTCATCCACAGGACAGTAAGATCCTGCAAGGGCAGGGCCATGTCTGAGGAATCCCTAGTGTCTAGCACAGGTGGGGGGGGCACATAGAACACGTTCAGTAATATTTTCTGGGTGAATGAGTGTCAGAACCTAAAGCTGAAGGATGGAGATTCGGTGTGATCTCATGCAGACCCTTCCTTTTGCTAGCAGTCCTGCCATGACGACTTTGCCTTCTGCAGAGCCCCCTCTGTGTGGCCTGGCAGAACATGTGGATGCTGGACTGTGCTATTGGTTTGTCCCCAGCTTCCTCGGTGACCTTAGGGAGCTCATGTTCTTGCTGAGCCTCCGTTTAGCCTGTTGTAAACTGTAGGCTTGGAGAAGACCTCTCAGCCTGGGGTCTAGTGACCTGTTCATGGATGGGCTCTGTGTTGCTTGTTATTGTTTGTACTGTGAATTTTGGTAGAGAGGGATGGAGGGGCTGTAAAGACACCTACCTTTGATACCTTCGGCAGGGCCTCTTGGGTGATGCCTGAGAAATGTGTCCGGTTGCTGAGCAAGTCTGCAATGCCCATGTCCCCCATGATGCCCCCAAGGTCGTAGGCTCCAGAAATGGAGATCTTTGGGATATACAGGTCCACCTGGCTGCTCGGGTAAGCAGATGGGGTTAGACTTTCCTGGGCTGAGTCTGGCCAGCCAGACTCCCGTTTCCCCTGGGATGCCCCTGCCTCCCTGCTGGACCTGCTGTTTGGGGAGAGGGGAGGGGACAGGGCAGGAGGCAGGATCTGCCTCTCCCTCCAACACACGGGCAGCTTCTTCTTTGGGCCTCTGAATTGCAAGGTCCTTTCTTCTCAGCTCTTTCTTGGAGCTGATTCCATTCAATCCAGCTAAACTCCTGGACTCTGAAGGAAAGAATCCCTAAAGAAGTCCTTGTGGACAAGAGAAATAAAAGCAAAAATAAAAAAATGGGATCAAATAAAACATAAGTTTTTGCACAGCAATGGAAATGGTAAGCAAAATGAAAAGACAACCTATGGGGTGGGAGCAAATATTTGCAAATCATACTACCAACAAGGGCTTAATTTCCAAAATATTCAAACAGCTCATACAACTCAATATAAAAAAACCCAAATAACCCAATCAAAAAATGGGCAGAAGACCTCTATAGACATTTTTTTCCAAAAAAGACATACAGATGGCTAACAGGCACATGAAAAGATGCTCAACATTGCTAATTATTAGAGATATGCAAATCAAAACCACACTGAGACATCACCTCACATTAGTCAGAATGGCCATCATTTAAAAAGTCTATAAATAATAAGTCTATAAATGCTAGAGAGGGAGTGGAGAAAAGGGAACCTTCCTACAGTGTTGGTGGGAATGTAAATTGGTCCAGCCACTGTGGAAAACAGTCTGGAGTTTCCTTAAAAAACTAAAAAGTTACCATATGATCCAGCAATCCCACTCCCGGGCATATATCCAGAGGAAATGCTTAATTTGGAAGGATAGATGTACCCCTATGTTCATTGCAGCACTCTTTACAATAGACGCCACAACCTAAGTGTCCTTCAACAGATGAATGGAAAAGAAGATGTGGTATATATATACAATGGAATATTAGGCAGCCACGAAAAAGGAAGAAATAATGCCATTTGCAGCAGCATGGATGGACCTAGAGAATATCATACTAAGTGAAGTCAGTCAGACAGCAAAGGCAAATATTATATGATATAATTTATATGTGGAATCTAAAAAATAATACAAATGAGTTTGTTTATAAGGCAGAAAGAGTCTCAAAAACATAGAAAACATCATTACCAAAAGGGAAGGGGTGGGAGGGATAAATTAGGAGCATGGGATTAACAGATACACACTGCCATATATAAATTAGATAAACAACAAGGATTTACTGAATAGCACAGGTGACTATATTCATTATCTTGTAATAACCTATAGTGGAAAAGAATGATAAAAGGATATATATAACTGAATCACTTTGCTGTACATCTGAAACTAACACAATATTGCATATCAACTATTCAGTTCAGTTCAGTTCAGTTGTTCAGTCGTATCCGACTCTTTGTGACCCCATGAACTGCAGCACGCCAGGCCTCCCTGTCAATCACCAACTCCTGGAGTCCACCCAAACCCATGCCCATTGAGTCGATGATGCTATCCAACCATCTCATCCTGTACTTTAATTTTAAAAAGAAAAAAAAAGTCCTGTGGTCCCCAAGCATCCCCTGGGAGAAACAGAGGAGTGGAGGGAACAGGCAGCTGGGAGCAGCGGTCCTGGCCCCAGCCATGCTGTGTGGTTTTAGCCAAGTCCCATCCCTGTCTGTGCTTGCCCTCATCTACACCACACGGGGGAGAGAAGATGCCTGAAACCCTGAAGTCAGTGATAGGGCGCGCGCTGTCCATTGGGGAAAGGAAGGCTGGAGAGCTTCTCTCCACTGAGCACAAGCCACCCTGGGGAGGCCTGGAGGCTGGCAACCTGAGGAACTGGGGAGGAATCCAAGGCCAACGAGATGTGGGACTTATCTAGATGAGAAAGAGCAACAGAAGGTAAGGGAGGCAGACCCATACCAGGCAGCTCCTGGCTCACCTTCCTGACCTCCTTTACCTCGCCTAATCTGTGCAACCTTACAAAGTGGAGTCAACATCTTCAATTTCCAGATTGAGAGACTAAAACTTAAAGAGGGGCGGAGGAATTTCTCCAAAGTCACACCCCTGGGAAGCAGCAGGACTGTGAAGAAACCAGGACTCGTTGCTTCGGAGCCCCATCGCCCCACCCTGAGAGCTGTCCCCATGACCTGCCGGCAGCAGGCAGGTGACAGCCGAGCAAGGGGACCCCGGGGAAGGCTCTCGAGAGAGCACCTCATGAGTAGGGCCCAGGGGCTTCCAGTGGGAGGTGGGGTATCAGCTGGGCTCTGAAGGCTGCTGAGCTCGGATGCATTGGAGAGCATGGTGGGGAAGGGGCAGTGACGCTGGGAGTGGGGAGGAGTGAGGAGTGGCCACGTGAGTGTGCAGGTGAGGAGCCGTGGGTGACATCATTGGGATAAAGTAGATGTCCAATCACATATGATGTCTAAAGGTGCAAAGTTTTACCTTGAATGTTTATTTTTTAAAAATCTAGAAGAAGATGTCACATGTTACTGATGAATGCTGTTTTAAGTATTTTACTTTAGAGATTATTTTTGAAGTAAAGAGAAAGGGTATCCTTTGTCTTATTTTCAACACATCAGGGATTTGAATTTGAATCACAGAGCATTATCACCACCTGGTGGGGCTGTACCTGAATTATAGAGTCCCTTCAAGGGGTGAGGGTGAGGTAGAGATGGGACAGTTGACCAGAAAAACTGGCAAATGGGTCCCTACTATTGACCAAACATATGGGGCTTTCTCAATGGCTCAAGCAGTAAAGAATCCACTTGCAATGCAGAAGACACGAGTTTGATCCTTGTGTTAGGAAGATCCCGTGGAGGAGGAAATGGCAACCCACTCCAGTATTCTTGGCTGGAAAATCCCATGGACAGAGGAACCTGGCATTCATAGGGTTGCGAAGAGTAGGACACGACTGAGCACATGATGGATGGATGGATAAATGAACCAAACACGGGCTCACATGCACACACCCTGGAGGCAGGGATGGTTGGTCCAAGGACACTAAGAATGCCCTCCATGGCCCCCATGTGGCTCTGGGGATCTCTTTGGAACACAGAACTGACCACACCACTCTTACCTGCAGAAGAAATGCCCTAGAACTTTCCGCCCACTCGTGGAACTGGATTAACCTCTTCAGAAGCACCAGCACTCAGCAGCTCTCCAAGAGGATCATTTATAATAAAAAGAACCCCAAACCATGGAACACAAAGCCTATGTCTATAATAAAGTAGAAGAGCTTCTTTCTAGATTTTTCTGCCTGCAAAATTCTTGGATTACCAGGCTCATCTGAGAGGGATTTGGCTTATCCTCTGCAGCTGACGGTGCTCGGGTGCTGACCTCCCTGACTTGGCTGGTGCTGTTACCTCTTCCACCTGTGATCCTGGGGTGCTTCGTGCTGGCTGAACTTCTACTCAGGCTTGAAGCTCAGTTCAAAGTGAAAGCCTTCTGCTCTGCAGCCCCTTCCCCAGTTGCCTGGGGCAGAGTCCAGTTTCCCACCCTCCCCCAAGTTTTATACATTATGCCTCTCCTTCCCTCTCTTGCTCTGACAGAGGTTACGGCACTGTACCCCTAATAATTCCACTAGAGTCTGCTTTCTTCTCTAGAGTACATCCCTTCTGCTTAGGCTTGTGCATCATACATAGCAGTTGCTTCCATATGTGGATACTGAATGAATGGACGGATGAATGAATGACATGGTACCTGGCCCACGAGCCTTCCTGAGAGACTCTAGATCCAAGGGAAGCTTCCTTCTCCTACAGCCCCTCTCTCCTTTGAGTCTGCATCCTCTCCCCCACCAGCTCTCATGTTGATTGGTTCATGCACAGACAAAAACTCCAATCTCCCAAGAGTGAGGACCGTCTTCTCGAGAACATCTGCTCCCTCCTTCAAGGTGAGGATCAGGGCTGGACACAAGCTTGACTATAATTTTGATTTCCCTCTAGCTCAGGGGCTCCTGGGAAAAATGAGTTTATTATGTACTTATGTCCTTACTTTCTTACTTGTTTACTGATTGGTTGATTGATGGAAGAAGCATTAGATCCCTCAAGTGATTTAACCATTCATAGGCTTTGTGTGTTTCCCTGATAGCTCAATTGGTAAAGAATCCACCTGCAATGCAGGAGACCCTGGCTCGATTCCTGGGTTGGGAAGATCTGCTGGAGTAGGGAATAGGTTACCCACTCTAGTATTCTTGGGCTTCCCTTGTGGCTCAGCTGGTAAAGAATCCACCTGCAATGCAGGAGAACTGGGTTCAGTCCCTGGTTGGGAAGATCCCCTAGAGAAGGGAAAGGCTGCCCACTCCAGTATTCTGGCCTGGAGAATTCCATGGACTGTACAGTCCATAGGGTCACAAAGAGTCAGATACAACTGTGGGACTTTCACTTTCAGGCTTTGCATTGTTTCCAGGGTGGGTACTGTGGTCTGTTTCATTATGTATTTTTATGGTCTCTCAGGAATCTTTAGCAGTGTTGGTGGCAGGTAAGCAAGATAATAGAATGGATCAGTGTGGGCTGGTAAACTCAGTTTAAGAAAAAGATCAAAGATGTAATAACACAGGGGGTGGCTATCAACTTCCTGGTTAAGAAGGACCTCCCTTTGTGGAATGCCCCAGAGCATCCCCATGTCAATCAACAGGTGGATAAACAAGTGTGACTTCTAGGTCAGAGAACCCAGCACACAGGGAAACAATAAGCCCTGGAGGGCAAGTCTAGGGGTAGAAGGATAGCTAGATGGATCCTTTTTCTACTCACCCCACTTTCTGGGAACTGCAGAAACTCAGTTGGCTAAGGGCTTACCGGATGGTTAGGGACTTAGACCACCTCTGAATGGTGTCCCGGCTCAGCGCGGTGATGACCGAGTCCATCTTCCCCTTGACTGGGAGCACGAAGAAGACAGTCTCATTGCCCGTATAGTCCAGCTGTACCAGCTGGCAGGGGAGCACCGAGTCGTTCAGGTACTTGACGGTGTTCGACTGGAACATCATGGGCACCTTCACTGTGGTCATCTCGTTCACATAGAAGTTCTCTTCTCTGGTGCTTTCCAGGTCGAAGGAGTGTGCCCACATGCCTAGGGAGAGGGGCAAAGGGGAGGGGAGAAAACAGGCCTGTGAGAGCAGGAGGAAAACACAGCTTGGGTGGCATCAGAGCACCAGGGATGACCACCAAGCAAGTTACGCAGTGGCCTCCTCAATCTGGAAGGTCCTCACCAGGGCTGCTGGAATTTTGTGCTAGGATGTGAAATTCCCAGAAGTGTAAAGCCTGCTCCATCCTCCTCTGGGATCACTGAGGATTAGTATGCTTTCTGAGACTGACTTCTAAAAATGGAAGGAGAGAGAAAACAGAGGATGCCAGTCCTGGAATTTGGGAATAGGATTCAGTACACTAGACTTTGGATCAAGTGGATCTTGGATTGGAGGGCTCTGGAAGTAGTGCTGGGGGAACTGATGAACCATTCCATCCTCAGCCCCTGATGTCCTTGCCACAGAAGCACAGCATGCAGCCTGGTCACCCACTTTCCTGCAGGACGCTCCTCCCCTCCTGAGTGGCCCCAAGGGCCACAACACATTTCCTAGAGACAGGATCAGGGTGAGATGAGTCCTTCAAGGTCTCAGACTCCCATCCCCACCTGGACCTCCCCTCCACCACTTTCCACAATAGCATCATGCAATCCTCTTGTGATGGGGAACTGACTACTGTAATTGATGGGACTTTCCACTACTGGTCAATACTGATGGGAAGGAAGCTTCTCCTTGTGAAAATCACTCAGTCATGTCCAACTCTTTGCAACCCCATGGACTGTAACCCGCCAGGCTCCTCTGTTTATGGAATTCCCCAGGCAAGAATACAGGAGAGGGTAATCGTTCCCTTTTCCAGAGGATCTTCCTGACCCAGGGATTGAACCCAGGTCTCCCACATTGCAGGTTGATTCTTTACATCTGAGCCACCAGAATTGCTCCTTAGATGAAGCCAAAGCCTGCCTGATGGTAATGCCTGCCTGCTGAGCCTGTTCAGCCCTTGAGTTTATTCCAAGCAACTCAAGTCCTCTTGGAGATGACAGATTTTTGGATATTTAGACATGGGTTGAGTCTCACCAGGGCCTCCTTGGCTCTAGGCTGTCTCCCCAGGTCTGGAGATGAATGAGGACCCTGAGACCAGCAGACCCCAAGTGTTCTGGCTGCCCTTGACCTCCAACCCAGAAACCCTTGTGAGGTCACTGTTTGCCAACTAAGACTGCCTGAAGGTGGCCAGAGCATATCTCCAAGCAGACCATTCTCCATCTGTCCACCTGTGGGATCTCTGGACCATGAGACCAAAACTCTTGGTTCTGAGCCAGCCTCAACACCCTGGAAGGACTTCTAAGGGAGATGACAGGTAGAAGCCAGAGGATGCAGGGTAAAGAGCAATGGATGAAAGTCCTGGAGACTCAGGGACTGTGCCTGGTCCATCTCTCATGACTGAGGCTGTCTCGCAGCACATGAGATAGTTTATGGGCTCTCAAGTCATCCTCTGGGCTTCCCTGGTGACTCAGTGGTAAAGAACCTGCCTGCCAGTGCAGGAGACATGGGTTTGATCTCTGGGTCCAGAAGATCCCCTGGAGAAAGAAATGGCAACCCACTCCAGTATTCTTGCCTGGGAAATCCCATGGACAGAGCAGCCTGGTGGGCTACAGTCCATGGGGTCACAAGAGTCAGATATGACTTAGTGACTAAACAAAAACAAAGGAAGTCTGGACTCCTCAGAATTAAAGGGGTGTGTGTTGTGACCAAGGGCTCCAATTCACAGCCAAAAAAATGTGGATGAAGTATTTTTTGGTGCGAGGTTTTTCATCCTTAAAAGTTTGCTGTGTGCTTTTTACTGAGTATTTCTTTTCTAGAGGCAAGTGTATCATGTATCCAGCTTGGTGGAAAACCAAGTACAGAATGCCATATAACCTCTACTTTAAGGGATTTTTTTTCTTGAAAATTCATAAGAATTTATGAAGGGAAATTGGAGACAGCAAGGACGAGTCCCTGGAAGATCTTTCAACAATATTTCTAATGTTCTCCATAAAAGAGCTGTTAAGACAGTTTACTAAGTAAGGAAAACAGCAGGGACACTGTCCAGGTCCTAAGTTTAGTGATGAGAGCCACACCCTTCTTCATTTCTGTGATTATCCTGGCTTGCTGGAAACAGTTCAGAGTATCTCACAGCTTAAACAGGGGCTTGTTAATTAGCTTTGCTTTATCATAGCAAATCTGTGTACAATCAAGCAGCCCACACTCCCGCCAATATCTGCTCTTCTTTCAGATGTTCAAACTCTTTCTGATTTTATTACCAGGAACTATTATTTTCTATCAACTCAGCCTCATTTTGGTCATGAGAATGCTTAGAAATCGTGAGAGCAAAGCCCTGTGTCAAATGATACCCTGTCGGCCCCTGTCCTGCCAGCCGTCTCTCAGTCTCCCTTTAGGCTCAAGAGGGTCCTCTCTCTACTGGTGTTGCAGAACCTCTATGCAACCACTACCGAGATTCTTCCATGTGCCAAGCACTATGCAAAGGCACTAGGGTGCCCAAAGAGATGAGGATGCTGTGCACGAGAGTGCATAGTCTCGTGGGAGACATGGCCTGCAGAATTCATGGGATCATCCAGAAACATTTCCAGGCAAACATTCTGAGACTTCTTGGTCCTCCCATGATCAGGTGTAAAGAATACCATCTTTTGATTGGGATCGCAAAAATCCTGAATAGCCAAAGCCATATTGAGAAAAGAGGAAGTTGGAAGCATCATACCTCCTGATTTCAAACTGTATTATAAAGCTACAGTAATCAAAACTGTAAGGTACAGGCATAAAAACAGTCACATTGACCAATGGAACAGAACTGAAAGCCTAAAATAACCCTTCACATATATAGTCAGCTAATATATGACAAGGGAACCAAGAATACTCAAGGGGAAAAAAATAATCTCTTCAATAAATGGATCTGAGAAAAGGATAATCACATACAAAAGAATGAAATTGAACACCTATCTTACATCATTCGTAAAAATTAACTTGAAATGTGTTAAAGACTTAAACAGAAGACATGAAACCATAAAACTCTTAGAAGAAAATTTAGGGGAAAAGAAGCTTTTTGACATTAATCTTAGCTATGATCTTTTTTTTTTCGTGCAAAAGCGCAAGCAACAGAGGGAAAAATAAACCAATGGGACCACATCCAACCAAAAAGCTTCTGCATGGCAAAGGATATAGTCAACAAAGTAAAAAGGCAACCTACAGAATGAAATTAAATATTTGCAAAACATATATTAGATAAGGGGAATAATATCCAAAAAAATGTAAGAAACTCATCCAACTCAATATCAAAAGAAGCCTCAAATAATCAAATTTAAAACTGAACAGAGGACTTGAATTGATATTTTTTTCCCAAAGAAGATAAAATACAAATGGCCCATGGAAGAAACCTAGATGTCCATCAGCAGATGGATGGATAAGAAAGCTGTGGTACATATACACAGTGGAATATCAGTCAGCTATTAAAAAGAATGCATTTGATCCATTCTAATGAGGTGGATGAAACTGGAGCCTATTATACAGAGTGAAGTAGGTCAGAAAGAAAAACACCAATACAGTATGCTCAGTCACTTCAGTCGTGTCCGACTCTGCGTGAACCCTGGCTCCTCTGTCCATGGGCTTCTCCAGGCAAGAATACTGGAGTGGGTTGCCATTTCCTCCTCCCCAATATAGTATACTAACACATATATATGGAATTTAGAAAAGATGGTAACGAGGAACCTATACGTGAGACAGCAAAGGAGACACAGATGTATAGAACAGTCTTTTGGACTCTGTGGGAGAAGGTGAGGGTGGCGTGATCTGAGAGAATAGCATTGAAACATGTATATTACCATATGTGAAACAGATCGCCAGTCCAGGATCGATGCATGAGACAGGGTGCTCAGGGCTGGTGCACTGGGATGACCCTGAGGGGTGGGATGGGGAGGGAGGTGGGAGGGGGGTTCAGGATGGGGAACACATGTAAGCCCATGGCTGATTCATGTCAATGTATGGCAAAACCACTACAGTATTGTAAAGTAATTAGCCTCCAATTAAAATAAATAAATTAATAATAAAAAAATACAAATGGCCCATAAATACAAGGAAATGTGCTTAGCACCACTAATCACCAGGGGAATGCAAATCAAAATCACAATGAGATAACTGCATCACACCTGTCAGAATGACTATTATTAAAAAGAAAACAAGTGTTGGTGAGGATGTGGGGAAAAGGATGTGGGGAACCCTCACACCTTGTTGGTGGGAATGTAAATTGGTGCAGCCGTTATGAAAAACAGTATGGAGGTTCCTCAAAAAATTAAAACTAGAACTACTGCATGATCTAGCAACTCTATTTCTAGGAATTATCAGAAGGAAATGAGCCCACTATATTGAAGAGATACCTGCACTCCCATGTTCACTGAAGCATTATTCACATTAGCCATGTTTCCAAAATATGGAAACAATTTAAGTGTCCATTGATAAATGAATGAATAAAGAAAAGTGCATTTATATTCACACACACGTTGACTGGGATATTATTCAGCCCTAAAAAGAAGGAAATGTTGCCATTTGTGACAGCATGGATGAATCTTGAAGGCATTATGCTAAGTGAAATAAACCAGACAGGCAAAGACAAATACTGTATGCTGTCACTTATATGTGGAATCTAAAAACATAGAACTTATAGAAACAGGGAATAGAATGATGGAAGAAATGGGTGAATGTGGTCAAAGTTACAAACTTCCAGTTATAAAATGAGTAAGTTTCAGGAATCTAAGGACAGCATGGTGACTATGGTTAATAACACTGTAGGGGCTTCCATGGTGGCTCAGATGGTAAAGAATCCACCTGCGATGCAGGAGACCTAGGTTTGATCCCTGGGTTGGGAAGATCCCCTGGAGAAGGGAATGGCAACCCACTCCAGTATTCTTGCCTGGAGAATCCCATGAACAGAGGAGCCTGGTGGGCTACAGTCCACGGGGTCACAGTCATATACGACTGAGTGACTAACACACTAACACTAACATAAACTTAAAAGTTGCTAAGAGGGCAGATGTTAAAATTCTCAAAACACACACACAAGTAACTAGCCTAAAATTTGTGCTGTTTAAGCTACCAAAGTTTAATATAACCCCAAACTGCCTGTTCATAAAAATGACTGGGGGAGGGGGGCCTTGTTAAAAATACAAATTCTAGAACATTCTTGCTGCAGTTTTGCTCTAGTAGATCGGGCATGGACACTGGGATCTGTCATCTTAACAGGCCTCCATGGTGATTTTTACGGCAGGCACTTTGGAAAATCTTGCTCCAAGTTGGTGAGGAGGGGCTGCGGTTTGACTGAGAGGGGTCTTGGTTAGAGCTGGCTTGGGAAGCGTTTAAAAGGCTGGCCGGAAGTTCTTGAGAGTGTGGGCTGTCTGGTTCTGGGCTGGATTTCCAGCCCCTGACCACATGCCTGACTGTCAGTCAGAACTTGGCCAATATCTGTAGACCATGAGGCACTCAGAAGGTTCATGGTTACATGTGTGGACCTTGAAACAACCTGCAAGAGCATGGGCAAACTGTTCTTCTGAGTGTCATTTTGATCCTTGGTGAGAATGATATAATTCACTTTTCTAATAGGATCATGGCGAAGATGGAGACTCTTCAGACATGCATGTGCTTTGTAAGATCAAAGACTTTGCCTAAGAGTACACTCTGGGTTTTGGTGGCTTTAAGTAAATGGGATGGGTGAGGGGTACCTTTAAAAAAGATGTAGTTGACCAGGATGAGCATGGCCGAGCTATCTGACTCCGAGAACAAGTCCACAATTTTCCCTTGTGTCTTATTCTTGATATACTCATTGATTTGTCTGCTGGCTCCTGCCCAGTCCTGAAAATCTGTGGTCAAGGCCTCCAGCTCATAGTAGTGCTTGGTGTCTGCTGAGAATGACTCCAGAAGCTCTAGGCTGTGGTCAAGGAACAAGGCATTACCCATGGTCATTTCCAAGGTGGTGTTTGACTCCCTGAGGAGGTGGTGGAGATGCCGGAAGGCCCGGTGGATCTCAGCTTCGGACATCTCAGTGAGGTTGAAGCCCAGGCCTTGGAGAAGCTGCTCCCGTGTGTAGCCTCTGGCGCCCAGGGACAGCATAGCTAAGGCCGTGGAGATGCTCACAGGGGAGATGAAGACATTCTTGCCTGGACCTGAGGCCACTAAGTGCTTATACAGGGTAAAGGCAAAGTCAACATTGTTTGGAGCCAAGTCCCTGTGAGGGTTCCTTGTGCTCACGTCAGTGCCAGAGCCCTTAGCCTGGACGGTCCAGAGCCCACTGGTAGACAGCCAGAGGAGACAGGTGCACAGGGTGGGCAGCATTGTCAAGGATGCCAGGTCCTGCAAAATCAGAAATGCTCATTAGACGATGTGGGTCCTCCCAGGCAGTGGGGCATGGTGAGCAGTAGGCAGAAGCCCCAGTGAAGACCCCACTCAAGTTCCAATTTCTTCTTCTACATTGGCTGTGTGACCTGGGGCAAGTCAGAACTCTGAGCCTCGATTTCCTCACCTGAAAGTATGAATTGCACCTGCTATGATTTTAAAATACCAAAACAGGTGCCCAAAATATTGCTTCACCAACAACAAAGTATAAAGGATTATTTTGATTTTAGGTAGGCAGAATAGATGCTCAGAAAGGTTAAATACCCATTCAGTTAATACATTCAAAGTCTGAAAGAAAAGAAAAAAAAAAACTATCAACCAAAAATACTCTATCAGTCAAAACTGTCCTTCAAAAGTGAGGAAGAACTAAGACATTTCCAGATAAACAAAAGCTGAGGGAGCTTATTATCACTAGACCTCTCCAATGAGAAATGCTAGAGGGTGTACTTCTGGTTACAATGAAGGAACATCAGAAAGTAAGTAGATTTTGTAAGAAGAAGTAAAGATCTCTGCAAAAGGTAAATATATGAGCAAGAAAAACTAGTATCATTTTGACTTGTAGTTCCACTTGTTTATATTTTCCATATAATTTAAAAGAGTGACACATAAAATATAATTATTCATGTATCTTTTTGGACACACAATGAATAAAGATGTAATTTGTGACTTATATAACCGAAAGAATATGGGAATGGAACTCCATAAGAGCAGTTTTGTATGTTATTGAAGATGATCTGGCATAAAGTCAAATGAGAGTGTTATAACTTTACTATATTAAATGTAACTTCCATTAAAACCCGAAAAGAAATAGTTTTAGAGTGTGCACAGAGAAGGGCTTCCCTGGTAGCTCAGATGGTAAAGAATCTGTCTGCAATGCAGGAGACCTGAGTTCAGTCTCTGGGTTGGGAAGAGCCCCTGGAGGAGGGCATGGCAACCCACACTAGTATTCTTGCCTGAAGGATCCCAAGGACAGAAGAAGCTGGCAGGCTACAGTCCATAGGGTCGCAAGGAGTCGGACATGACTGAGCACAGCACACATGCACAGAGGGAAGTGAGAAGGGAATTAAAATCCTTGCTTTGTATTAAGGAATATATATCTTCCTATGTAATCCAGAAAATCAACTAAACACACCCACTCAAATATTAGTAATGTAGGAAATAAAGAACAAAACAGCTATAAGGCATACAGAAAATAAGTAGGAAAATTACCGAGTAGTTCCTCCATATGAGTAATTAATATAAATGGACACAATTCTCCAGTCAAAAGGCAGAGATAGACAGAATGGATCAAAAAAAAAAAAAGAAACAACTATATGCTCACTTCAAAAGATTCACTTGAGATCCAAAGGCACATATGAAAGAATGGAAAAAGATATTCCATGTAAATAGGCACCAAAACAGAGTACAGCTAGCAGAAGAAAGGAAACAATAAAAATTAGAGCACAGATAAATAAATAGAAGTAAAAGAAAATCAATGAAGCCAAAATATATTATATAGTATTATAACAATATATTAGGATATAATTATAATAAAATCTAATCTTCAAATATATTAACAAAATTGATAAGCCTTTAACTAGAGTAAGTAAGACAAAGAGAGAGAAGTCTCAGATTACCAAAAGCAGAAATGAAAGTAGGGGCATTATTACTTATCAGTTCAGTTCAGTTCAGTTGCTCAGTTGTATCTGACTCTTTGTGACCCCATGGACTGCAGCACGCCAGGCTTCCCTGCCCATCACCAGCTCCTGGAGTTTACTCAAACTCATATCCATTGAGTCAGTGATGTCATCCAATCATCTCATCCTCTGTCCCCTTCTCCTCCTGCCTTCAATCTTTCCCAGCATCAGGGTCTTTTCCAATGAGTCAGTTCTTCGCATCAGGTGGCCAAAGTATTAGAGTTTCAGCTTCAGCATCAGTTCTTCCAGTGAATTTTCAGGACTGATTTCCTTTAGGATGGACTGGTTGGATCTCCTTGCTGTCCAAGGGACTCTCAAGAGTCTTCTCCAACACCACAGTTCAAAAGCATCAATTCTTCGGTGCTCAGCTTTCTTTACAGTCCAACTCTCACATCCATACATCACTACTGGAAAAACCGTAGCTTTGACTAGACGGACCTTGGTTGGCAAAGTAATGTCTCTGCTTTTTATTATGCTGTCTAGGTTAATCATAGCTTTTCTTCCAAGGAGCAAGCGTCTTTTAATTTCATGGCTGCAGTCACCATCTGCAGTGATTTTGGAGCCCAAGAAAATAAAGTCTGTCACTGTTTCCACTGTTTCCCCATCTATTTGCCATGAAGTGATGGGAACGGATGCCATGATCTTAGTTTTCTGAATGTTGAGTTTTAAGTCAGCTTTTCCACTTGTTTCCTCTTTCACTTTCATCAAGAGGCTCTTAGTCCTTCTTCACTTTCTGCCGGAAGTGTGGTGTCATCTGCATATCTGAGGCTTTTGATATTTCTCCTGGCAATCTTGATTCCAGCTTATGCTTTATCCAGCCTGGCATTTCTCCTGATGTTTTCTGCATATAAGTTAAATAAGCAGGGTGACAATATACAGCCTTGATGGACTCCTTTCCCGATTTGGAACCAGTCTGCTGCTCCATGTCTAGTTCTAACTGTTGCTTCTTGACCTGCATACAGATTTCTCAAGAGGCAGGTCAGGTGGTCTGGTATTCCTATCTCTTGAAGACTTTTCCAGAGTTTGTTGTGATTTACATAGTCAAAGGCTTTGTCTCCAACCGGGCAGCAGGCCACTGCCAACCCACACCTCTGCCAGAGACTCCTGGACACTCACAGGCAAGTCTGGGTCAGTCTCTCCGGGGGTCACTGCTCCTTTCTCCTGGGTCCTGATGTGCACAAGGCTTTGTGTGTGCCCTCCAAGAGTCTATTGCCCCAGTCCTGTGTATGTTTTGGCGGCCCTATGGTGGGGTTAATGGCGACCTTCTCCAAGAGGACTTATGCCATACCCAGGGCTACTGCACCCAGAGCCCCTGTCCCCCGCAGCAGGCCACTGCTGACCCGAACCTCCGCAGGAGACACTCAGACACAGTTCTGTCTCAGTCCCTGTGGGGTCCCTGGGTCCTGGTGAGCACAAGGTTTGTGACTACCTATACCACAGAATTTTTTTTAAATTATGAGAATACTATGAAAAAATTGGAAGTTACACACCAAAAAATTCGATAACCTAGATGAAATGGAAAATTTACAGAAACACAAAACATGCCAAAATTAAACCACAAAGAAACAGGAAATCTGAATAGACCTATAAGTAGTCAGGAAATTGAATAATTATTTGAAAATCCCCCAACAAAGAAAAACCTGGATTACATAGCTTCAGTTTTGAATTCTACCAAACATTTAAAGAAGAATTTGCACAAATTCTCCTCAAACTTTTCCAGAATAACTGAATAGGGAACTGAATAGTTTCCAGAATAACCGAGGAGGGAATGCTTCTTAACTCATTCATTGCCCTAATGCCAAAGGCAGACAAAGACACCATAAGAAAAGGAAACTACAGACAAATATTGTTTATGAACATTGCTGCAAAAACCCTCAACGAAATGTTAGCAAATAGCATCCAGCAGCATAGTAGAAGGATTTTATGTTAAGTCAAAGTGGGATTTATTCCTGGAATGCAAGATCAGAATGGCCATCATCAAGAAATCTACAAACAATAAATGCTGGAGAGGGTGTGTAGAAAAGGGTTGGTGGGAATGTAAATTGGTCCAGACTCTATGGAGAACAGTATGGAGATTCCTTACAAAACTAAAAATAGAGCTCCCATATGATCTAGAAATCCCATTCCTGACCATATATCCAGAGAAAACCATAATTCAAAAACATGTATACCCCAACATTCACTGCAGCACTATTTACAGTAGTCAGGACCTGTCCTGTGACAGAGGAATGGATAACGATGTGGTACATATGTACAATGGGGTATCACTCAGCCATGAAAAGAATGAAATAATACCATTTGCTTCAACATGGATGGACCAACAGATTGCCATACTGAGTGAAGTAAATCAGACACAGACAAATATCATATGATATTCCTTATATATGGAATCTAAAAAAAAATGGTACAAATGGACTTACATAGGGTCACAGATACAGAAAACACACTTATGGTTACCTGGGGGGAAAGTGAGGGAGAAGGGATAAATGGGGAGATTGGGATTAATATACAGACACTACCATCATAAAACAGCTAACTAAGAAGAACCTACTTTATAGCGCAGGAAACTCTACTCAATACTTCATAGTGAAGAACATGGGAAAAGAAGCTAGAAAAAGAGTGGATACTTGTGTATGTATAACTGATTCACTTTGCTGTACAGCAGAAATCAACACACTATCGTAAATCAACTATACTCCACTAAAAATTTAAAATAATTAAAAAGTAAAGGGTATAATAACAATGAACAACCAGATAAAGAGAGTGGGGCAAGGTCTAGAGGGGTCTTAAGCACAGAGGCTCTTGTCCCTGTGGCTTGTATGTATACCACCCTCTCATCATGTACCTTCAGAAACTCTCTGAACTGCACACCTTTGGCATGCTTATGGAGGCTTCATCACATAGGCAGAATTGATCATGAACTTAATCTCCAACCCCTCACCCTTTCCTGCAGGATGGGGCTGAATGTTCCAAGTTCCAGTCATGACTTGGTCCTTCAGGTGACCAGCCCCCATCCTGAGGCCATCCAGGAGGTCACCCAGCATCTCCTCATTAGAGCAAAGGACACTGCTGTCACCCAGGAAATGCCAAGGGATTTTGGAGCTCTGCCTCAGGAAGCAGGGTCAAAGACCAAATATTTGATTCTAGCGGTCTTATCACTTGGGGAATTACGAGGGTTTTTGGAACTCGGTGCTAGGTACCAGGGGCAGAGATCAGGATGTTTCCTGCATTGCAGGCAGATTCTTTACTGACTGAGCCACATGAGAGCCTTCCAACAGTCAAGTGCATAGAAATCGAAGGTAGGTTAGTAGTTAACAGAACTGGGGGTGGGGAGTGGGGAGTGGGGACATGGAGAGTTAGGGTTTAATGGGTAGAGTTTCAGTCTGTGATGATGAAAAAGTCCTGCAAATGGATGGTGGTGATGGTTACAGAACAATGTGAATGTACCTGATACCAGAGAACTGTACACTTAAACCTGGCTGAAAGGCTCAATCTTTATATATCTTACCACAATAAAAAATTAATTATAAGCCATTAAAAATGTTTGATGATTCCAAAAAATACAGCCAAGGTCAGAATCAGTAAGCAGATACTCTATCTGCAAGGCCAGTGGTCCCAACCCCGTGCCTTATGGAATGCCCCCCTATTCCTATAAAGGAAGGATGCTTATAGGAAAAGCAGCCCCCCCTGCACCACCCCACCCCCAGGAATAGCTATGCTGGGAGGGGGCTGGGAATCCACAGTGAAACCAGTCCCCCAAGAGAATGGGGGTACACTGAGGGTGGGAGTCACTAGTCTGCTCAGGAACATACCCCGAGGTCCTTTCCTGGCCCACTGCAAACCCAGAGCTTCACAAAACCTCTCTCTGAGACCCCCTCAACCCCCCTGCCTGCCTCCCTCCACATGGTGGAAATACACCTCCTGTTCCTGGCTTCTTGGCTTTGATAAGAGCCTCGCCCCCTCCCTGCCCAGTTGCCTGGCTCATAGACAATCTCTATTTTCATGGGTTTCACGGCAGACCAAGTCAGATGGAGATCTCAGCACTATCTCGATGACCCAGGTGACCTGGGTTCACTGTTTAAATTCTGCCCGTTTCCTTGATATAAAATAGAGTTGATAACAACACCTACCCCTGGCCTGGCCCATCTGACCGTCTACGTGTCTGGGGTCTGTCCTCTTCTCCAGTTCTAGGACACAGCCCAAGGTTGGGAATTGGCATCCCTCCCAGTTGCCCCTCCTCCCCCACCTGATCTCCAAGCCTCCTGCTCACCTCCTGCCAACCTTTCTTTCCTCAGCAGCCAGGGCATGTTTCCAGAATCAAGCGGATGGGCCAGTCTCCTGCAGAAAAGCTGTCAGGGACTCCCGTTGCTCCCAGGCAAGGCTGATCCTCACTCACGTTGCCCAGAGAGCCCTGCCTCACCCCCAACCCCAAATCTGGCCTCTTGAAATCTCAGAGCAACACTGTGTCTCTTGGAGTGTCCTCCCAGCACGTACCAGACTTTCATCCCTCTGCCTGGGTCACACCAGGGAGATCATCCCATTCTCCAATGTTTGCAAAGCCCGGCTCTGGCCTGAGAACTGGAGACAAAGATGGGCCAGCTCCAGTCCTGCCCCATGTGGCTCCACTCCTGCCTTCTGTTGGCCTGACCCTTCCCTGGATCACTCCCTCACCTCCTCCAGGAAGCCCTCCCCTGTGCTTCTCTCTGTCACTGCCCCGTCAGACTGTAGTGAGATCTTTGCTTCAGTCCTGGCCATCTCCACACTTGTCTTTGGCCCCTTCTTGGGCAAGGACCTGATGTGGTTCACAGCCTGGAATGGGGTGGGCTTGCCCCCAATAGAAGTTCTTCTTTCTTTCCTTCTCTTCCTGCTGTCTCAGATTTCACGCCTCATCCCATCCTGTGCTAATCCCCTCCTGTGCTAATCCTCCAAGATGGGGATTAAAACTCTACCCACCTCACAAGACTGTTGTGAATATCAGCCACAGCTGTTAACAGTGCTTTCTTTAAGGACCTCACTTCCTGGGTCAGCCTGGGTCCATTGTACAGATGAGAAAACTGAGGCCCAGGGAGTGAGAGCTGAAATTCCAAGCCCAGCCTTCTGACTGCACAGCTTGTGTTCTGCCTTTCTTTAGAGTGAAAACCCAGCAACGTAAAAGTGCAGAGTAGCAATATTATCCCTGGGTTTCATTTCATGTAGATCCTCCTTGTCCCTCATTTTTGAAGTCACACATGCAGTACACACCCACTGTGTTCTCTATTTTTCTAGATGCTCGGCACAAGTCAGGCACAGTCCTAGGCCCTGTGCATTTAAACCTCGGCCTGTGTGCTGTGATGCTGGCAGCTCCATTCTGTCTGCAGGATCCTTGCCCCAGCTCATCCGGGGAGGAGGTGTGTGCAGCGCCGTAGGGTATAGTCTGTGCTGGGTCACCTGGGCACTGCTCTCCCCTGCCTGTGTCCCCTGGCAGGGGCGCTCTGTTGTGCGGTCCATCCCAGCTCTCAGACTCCCTCTCAGAGGCTGTTAATGGCTGTCTGGCTGGCCTTAGGGGCATCGTGTGATAGCTGGGAATGGCTCTTAATTCCGTGTCAACTCCTGCAAGACAGGAGCCCAGGAAAAATCAAAACCCCTGTGAGTGACCCACAGATTCTGGAAAACCCTCTCTAGGGGGGTCTCCTGTCACTGTTGGTTGCCCTAAGTTTCCATGCCCTGTTTAAAAAAAAAAAAAATTCAAGTAAGCAAGACGCAGTCACGGCTTGGTTCTGGAGGCCGGGCAGCTGTTACTCACGGTCTGCAGTGGGCTCAGGCTGCAAGTGCTGGCTTGGTCCTGCTGTCCTGGATCATGTTATGTGTACAGTAAGCCAGCGGGGCTGCGGCTGCTAAATCCTGCTGGCCAGCTTCCCGGCTGGTTAATGGTTACAGGGGAGCCAGTGGCCTTCTCCATTTGGTGGTCCCCTCCCCCCAGTCATTAACCAATGGGAGCCTTTTCCAGGAAATTTAAGTAAACACAGCAATGCTGCAAATTAACTTTCTTCCGCATCCAATTCCCTGAAGTTTGATTTTTTAATAGCAAAATGCGGCTGGAGTTACGTCAGGGTTTGTGGCTGCCTGGGTGGCCATGGGCGCAGAGGCCACAGGTGTCCTTAATTAGCATGATGGTGCTCACACCTGTGAAGAACCAGGCGCTGAGCTCGGGCCGGGAATGAGTCCGGCCCAGGAGGTCCTGCCTTCAGGGGGGCAATGGTGTGAGGGAAAGATAGACGTGGACTAAAAGCAGCAGAGTGCTTCCAGTGGATTATCTCATTTAATCCTCACGACTCTGTGAAGCGTATACTATTATTATTCCTCTTTTCTAGACGAGGAAACTGAGGCTCATGGAGCTTAAGGGAGCTGCTCTTGAGATTCAAATCCAAGACCATTCAACTCCGAAACCTAGCACCTTCCCTTCCCTCTTCCCCACATTTTTATTCATCAGCTCTCTTTTGACTGCAGATGACAGACCCAACCCAAACAGCTTTAAAGCAGAAAAAAATATATACTGGGTCTCTTAGGATAATTCTGAAGTGGGAGGGCTTCAGGCCTGGCTGGACCCAGGAGACCCAGGGCGGTCATTAAATTGACGTCTCTCTCTTTGAAAAAAAAAAAAATTCTTTCTTTGCTCCGCTTTCTTCTTTCCTGCTCTAGTTTTTTATGGTGGGGAAAAGGTGGTCACTGCAGCTTCAGGTTACTTGGTCCTAACTAGTAATTTGATATCAGAAGGAGAGGGACTCACTTTTTTCAGTGTTCATATCAGTCCCCCATTGCACATGATTGCCCATCCTTGGATTGATCCAGTATGCGGAAGAATACAACATTGTGAATGGTGAGTCAGGGTACCGCGCCCTCTGTTGGACTGATGGTGCTATTACTTCCTTTCAGGGATGAGGGGAGATGTTCCCCTGAGGGCCGCAACTCAGTGGAGTGTTTTGAGGGCACTTCAGTTTTATTAAAAATTATTGGCCTTTTCAGGATTTTTTATTAGTTCAGCCAATTATAGAATTTATAACTAGGAATAGTTATAATATGTAACTAGAAATATATAACTAGGAATTTACTATTTTTCAAATCTCTGTCCTATCAGTAATTATTTTAATAGAAAATGTTACAGTCTCCATTCATAATTGTTCATTTATTTGCCTCTCTGTCAGTTGTTGAGATACTTTGAGACCATCAAAACTTATACACTTTTGATTATTATATCATCTCTCTCTATTGTTCATTTTTCTTTTATCTTGGCTTTATGTGGCACATTTTTGTCTGAAATTCTATTTTATCTAATAAGATTGGTTTCCCAATTTTTTTTTTGGTTCACACTTGCCTGATATATTACACCTTTTCATTTACAAGCTATCTGTGCCTTCTTGTTTTAAGAGTGTCACATACACAACATTTTGTTGAATTTATTTTTTATTATCCGACAGTGAAAGTCTCTTTGCCTTTCAGTTGGCAAAATTAACCTATTACATTTAATTTTAATTATGGTTGTTTTAGAACTGACATACCACTTCATCTCATATTTTTCATTTACTATATATTCTTTTTCTTGTGTCTTTTACTTCTTTGTGTTGAAAAGGTTGAATTTTCTCCCACAGGTTTAAAAGATACTCATTCTATTTTTTGCCTTAGGATGATCTCCCTTTACTAAAAACACCAAAAACCTCCAGCTAAGATCCTAGCTATCAAGGAGCCGAGCCGAGCCATCCTACTGTGCCTTGTCTGAATTCCTGTCCACAGAACCCAAGAGTGTAATAAATGGCTGCTTTAAGCTACTAAATTTTTGGACAGTTTATGAGGCCACGTTACCGAGGACAGATTTTGGTTCCTGGAAATGGAGTGCTTCGTAACAAAAGCCTTGAATATGTGTGCAGTGAATATGTGGCTGGAAAGGCCTTCTGAAGACTGTAGTGGATGGCTGGTGGTCCTTGACAGGAGGGCTTAAAGGAAAGTGAAGATCAGGTTGTGGGAAGCTGGAGGAAGGGTGGGGGAAATGAAGTATACTGTCATCTCTGGAAACATGAAAACAGAGAATGTAACGAATGAACTGGTGGCTGATGAGATATCCAGGCAGACTGTTCAAAGTATGCTCCAGTTTCTTCCTGCTACTTACAGTAAAATGTGAGAGGAGATAGATAAGCTTATGTTTTTTTATTTCCTATAAAAGAGCCAGGACTTTCTGGATCAAGACAAAACAAAACGTAGTTTCTCCTTTATAGCCAATGATTTTACCTTTTGAGAAATGCCTATTTTAGTAAAATTGTTTCTGTCAGATTGTCTTTTTCTTAGTCATCGGGAGACATGCCAGGTTGTTGTATTATATACCGCAAAATAGCTTTCTAAGTTTGTGGCCTTTTACTCTCCTTTACAGAATCTTTTGATGAGCATATTTCACAATGAAGTCCAATCCCTCTATTTATTTTTCCACAGATAGTTTATGTCCTATTTAAGAAATCATTGCCCATTTCAGTGTTGTGAAATATTTTCTTATGAAGCTTCTATTGCTTTATTTATTTATCTTTGAGTATGGTGTGAAGAAGGGGTCTATCTTTTTCCATATGCATGTTAACACTACTTACTGATGACAGGAAGTGTGCTTTTTAAACATGTCAAGGTCAAAGAAGACACAATATGTTACCTCTTAGAGGAGACTGAAGAGGCATGATGTTTGCAATGGTGGGATTTCTGAGGAGAAAGTGGTCATCAATTCTTGTCGGGCTTTAGCAAGAAGCTCCTTGCAGGGGTTGGGAAGACTCCAGAAAGACCAATAAATCATTATGCATGACTTAATGTGGTGCTGAAGTCCTTAACTGTAGGAAACATGTACTTTGAGGGACATTAGTGGAAAAATTGACAGAACTGGAATATGGATCGTACGTTAGAGAAAAGTATTGTACCAGTGGTAAATTTCCTGAAGTTAATAGCTTTACTGAAAAAATAATACCCCAAATTCTTAGGAAATATACATCAAAGTGTTTAAGGGTAAAAGATCATGATATATAAAATTTATAGTTTAAAAAATACTATGTATATATAGACACACATACATATATGCATACATGTAGATACACACATGGGTTGCTGTGAAGACTGGATGGCACCATAAACGTAGCATGGCAGAGGGAACAAGGGAAAGCCTGCCAAGAGACCCATTGCTGGTACTGTTACTTTATCTGCCCTGTATCCACTAAGTGCTTAGGCAGCGCCTGATTAGAAGGCTTTTTCTTTAATTATCAACCTCTTGATGCTGCTGCTGCTGCTGCCAAGTCACTTCAGTCGTGTCCGACTCTGTGCGACCCCGTAGATGGCAGCCCACCAGGCTCCCCCGTCCCTGGGACTCTCCAGACAAGAACACTGGAGTGGGTTGCCATTTCCTTCTCCAATGCACCAAAGTGAAAAGTGAAAGGGAAGTCGCTCAGTCGTGTCTGACTCTTAGCAACCCCATGGACTGCAGCCCAGCAGGCTTCTCTGTCCATGCGATTTTCCAGGCAAGAGTACTGGAGTGGGGTGCCATTGCCTTCTCCGACCAACCTCTTAGCCCCTTATAATAGAAAAATAATTTTAAAAAGTAGAAGAACATTTCTCAGAAGCACTGTTGAGGCAGAAGACCACCGGTTTACTGTGTGTTCCCTGAACCACTGGTCTATGCCCACCAGGCCCTGGCTAGTGGCTTCCAGGTGAGTGTAGCCTGCTCCCCGATTACCAGGAGGTCCGCTTCCACTGTTCCCCCTGGGCTCGTTGCTGCTGCGCCTGGGTCTCACTTGAAAGATGCACCCACCTTTCAGGACTCCCTCCAAATCCAGGGAGGAGCTTTTGGCTGAAGCCCTCTAAGCACGACCATCTCCTTCTCTGAAATCACCCTACAGATGTGTTGCTCTGAGTCCCTCTTTCCCAACTCTGCCAACCGCAGAAGCTGTGACGGGGAGGCTTCCTCCTAACTTCAGCTGTGAGGCTACCTGCCATCTGGAATCCCGTCTCCAGGGAACTAAAGACCCTTGCCTGACATGGTCACATCAAGCCAGAGACCTGTAGCGATGAGACTTGCCAGGGAGGAGCCTTGGATGGCCTTTGCTGAGCCCTGGGCGGCTGTTTACCCAAGGGATCATGAACTGTGTTGGCAAAAAGGATGCCAATCTCTGCTTGTGGCCAGCATTGGGGTGGTGTGGGTAGGTTGGGTTAATTGCATGTCTAGAGGCTGGACCTGAGCTGACCTGAGTTGGTCTTAGGGCCTGTCGCTATTGTGGGTCAAGAAGACTTCCTGGTTTCTTCTGCAAGCCTGCATTGCTGGGGTCACCTGTCCTATCTGCAGTCTCAGCCTTTGGGCAATTCCTGGACCAAGCAAGAATCTAATCCTTGCCCCACCGCCACCCCCCTTCTCCATTACTTTGCTAATAAGGTTCTACAATGACTGGCTGACCCCTTTTGTCTTCCTTCTGATTTCCCTGCCATTTCCTGCTCTGCCCTGATACTACAACCTATAAAGCACTGGGCATCAAGTCTGGTACATAGTGAGGGTAGTAACTGGTGTTTATTGAGCTGCTGCTGGGTACCAGCTCTGGTGTTTTATGGGTACTGACCTATTTGATCCTCACATGAACTTAACCAGGCAGGTATTATTATCATTTAGGACAACATAGCAGTCAAGAGCAGGGACTCTGAGTTTGAATCCAGACCTTAGCTGTGCGATATCAGGCAAGTTACTAAGCCCCCTGTGCCTCAGCTGAGAAATGGAGATCCTAGAATCACTCTAGGTTGTTGTGAAGATTGCATATGTAGAAAGAACATAGAACTGTGCCCGATGTATTCTAAGTGCTATATGAATGCTAGTGATTACCGACATACCTCGCGTTTTATC